ATATGTGACAAAACATGCAATAAATTTTATAAAGATAGAATTGAAAAGATGAAGAAGATAGAATTTTACATTTTAAATGTAATTTTAATCTACTTTCGGATGTGTTTGTACTTCGTGTTCGGATCAGCAGTTTGCCGATAATTTATCCCACAAGGGATGATAAAAGCTGATTTATCCATTTCGATTTCATTCTGCATAACATTTATTATTTTTAATGTTGTCAATATAATACTCTCAATATAACTTTCTTTTCTCACTCCTTTCAATATATCATTTTTCTCAATATCTGGCTAAATAATGTACATTAACACTCTGCATTGTTTACTTATTCTTACATATTAGTAAAATTAGTAAAATTTATTTAGTCAATTATTAGCTATTTTTCGTCAATGTCAGAAAGTATTTTTTTAATATATGTATTTCGTTAAAGTATTTTGTTAGATTATTTAATTTTATCGATAATAATTAAGATTGATAGTATATAAATTTAGTATAAAACTAAAATTACTTTTAAGAAATATTAGGAATAGGAATAAAAATTAAATGTAACGCACAATGAATATAAGTATAAGATATGACTATATTTACATTTATATATTTTTTATTCCAAATTTTTTATCTCTAAAATTTAATATTTATTTTAGAGACAGGAATAAATATGGAAATTTTGGAGATAAAAAATTCCGAATATTTGCTCCACTGTGCGTAGACTTTTAGTATAAAACTTTTAAAAATAATACCGGTAACCAATAATTTTAATACTGTTACAGTACACTGCATTATCGACATTTTGAATATTTGAGATTAGAATAGTTCGAGTCTTCACTAAAATACAACAAACCGATCAAACTGAATCAGCTGACCGGACTTGTCAAACGCGGAGTTACGCGCATTCTACACAGGAAAACGGTAATTGTAATATATTGCGTAATTGTTTTCCGACGAATTGAAATAAATACAGTACGTTGTGTTAAATATACAAATAAATTATCGTATCCATCTAATCGCAATCCACGGGTGACATGCCAGAAATAAAGAAATATGACATATATTTACATACGCGACGTACACATACACACATACACACACACGTAAGAGCAATTTTTCGAACAAAGGATCGGGCGTACGAGAAATACTGATACCCCATTTTGCTTATCTACAATTTCTAATTGTAGTCATCAAATAAGACGACTTAATGAGTGTGCTTGTTCGTCGTTTTATCGGATATTTCGTTACTGAGTTACGCAGAGTGAGTTACACAGAGTCAGTACTTTTGATAAACATTACGGAAAATAGCAATGGATGTACCTGTTGCGAGATGGAGATGTTATTTACTTGTACAACCGCTTGCAATGCTGTTTTTGCTCGCTTTGTCTATGTCAGGTAATAAGCCAAATATCTCTTATTTTAATGCAACAGCTACGTATATAATATATTTCCTTTATAGGTAACGTCTTGACAGACTTAATAGTATATCGTACTTGTGTTGTAACCATGAAAATAAATAAAACAGAATGTGATATACTTCATAACAATAGCAGCAGTGAAGAGGCTCTCAGAATCAATTCTATTGTACAACCATATACAGGCCTAATTCTAATGGGTAAATCGTTCATCGAAAGTATCTTCCCTACGATTTTGACTTTATTTCTGGGACCGTGGAGTGATAAGTATGGAAGGAAACCTATTCTAATTTCAGTATATATAGGTAACTATCCATTTTCTCAATAAATATTTATTGTAAGAGAAGCCTCATTACTTCTGAAAATTATATATATATATATATATATATATATATGTACATATATATTTATATGTATGTATGTATGTATGTACATATATATATATATATATATATTGTATGTAATAATTGATTGTTATTATAAAAATAAGTAATTGATCAGAAAGTACAATAATTCAAATTGAATGATAAAAGATCATGTAAATTAAATATAGTGCTCAATCCATAACTTTACAAAACAATAATTTTCATAACTTCTGCATCTAAAAGAGAAAGTTAATGTCTGTTTATTATTTCTATTAATATTTATCTAATTTATTTATTCTTTCAGGTATATCTTCAACTTTTTTTCTGCTCACTTTTATGTCTAATTGGGACATAGTACCTTGGTATTTTCTGTTAGCCTATATTCCATTTGCTTTCCTAGGAGGCACATCTGCATTAATGTTAGCTTCAGTGTGTTATATTACTGATATAACAAGCGATAATGAGCGGGCATGGCATTTAGCCTGGTTAGATGTTTTAATAAGTGTCGGCTTGCTAATCGGTTTACTTTCTGGCCCGCTGATATTCAAGGCATACGGTTACGCTGCTGTGTTTGGTACTGTGACTGTGATCTGCATTCTGACGACGTTGTACATATTTTTTATCCCAGAAACTATACAAAACGAAATCTCCGTAGGTGTTCCAAAACATTCGTTAAATCATTTTCCTGAAGCAGGCACATGATGCAGCTTAGAAACTGACGTTTATTTCTGTCAATAAAAATTAATTTTAATCTCGGTTCAATTTTTTTCTAAGTCTTGGAACTAAAAAGTAGACAAAAAGTAAGATTAAAGTCAATCTATATCGTTAAAATTAATTTACAAGATAAGAATTAATGAATGTCGTTTTAATGAATAAGGAGTAATTCGTGAAATGCTTTAAATGAATAATAAGTAATTTTTTCTGCCTTTACAGAGTAAGAAGATATTCAACTTTAAGTTCATAAAGGATATTTATGATACATGCATTAAGAAAAGAGATGGATTCGATAGATTGTTAGTCTGGAGCTGCATAGCTTGCCTTATACTTCAATTGATTATCATCCAGGGCAGTTCTTCTATCGGATTTTTATTTGCAAGCGCGCGACTTGGCTGGACTGTAGAAGAATATTCTACTTATGTAGCTTTAAATATAATGATAACAGTACTTGGCACGATGTTCGGCGTTAAATTAATACCGAAGTACACAGGTACCATCATAATAATTGAATATACATTATAATTATAAGCAAGAGCTTATGAAATATTTGAACATTTTAGGACTTCCAGAAGCGATAATTGCCATAATATCCGTTATATCAGCTCTTGGTAGCACTATAACAGGTGCCTTTGCGTGGAAATCTTGGCACATGTATCTTGCTATGATTATAGGAATGTTTGGCGACATATCTCGATCGATGGTTCGTGCTATTTTGTCCAAAGCAGTACCTGCGCAGGATATAGGTATAATCCTTGTATTTTTATTTTAATAAATATTAGATATTTTTCTTAGGATATATTTTTTATGGATTTATTCTATAACTCTTAACAACATTGGCCCATATTCTGAATTCTCTTTTAAAGATAAAACTACTTCTAAAAATGACTTATAAGTTTTCTGATTGACTGTAAATCAATCATTTGAATCATTTAATCAATAAAAGATAATTTGGAATATGAACCATTATTAAAAGTTACAAAATAGGCTCTTTAGAGATAAGGAATATATTGAAAAATGGATCTATTTCAACAGGGAAAGTATTTTCCCTGGCCATGTCATTGGAGACTTTGATACCATTTGCGGCAACTTCTCTGTACACACTCCTCTACTCTCACTATATGCCACCTATATACCCCCTACCAGCAGGATTCTTATCAGCAATATTCTATGTCTTAACTATTGGGATATTGATATGTATTCAAATACAAGTGATAAAACGCACTAGAATACTTTCTTCTCAACTGACCGATAGTGACTCAGCTGACTGATAGCTGTTATCAAAGAAAAGCAAATATGAAATGTATTTGCAAGATAAAGTAAAATTGAATGTAAAAAAATAACATTCGCATGTCTACATTTTTCGACAATATATGAAGTTTATTGTGTTTTTATATGTATAAATTTTACATTTAGAATTTTTTTATTATAAATATTTTTCTTAGAAATATAGAATTTTTATATTGTATATTTAATTTTTATATTGTATATAAAAATTCTATATTGTATATATATATTTATAAATAAGAAGTTATATATTATTTTTAAAATTATTATTACAGAGATTTTAAAAAATGTAGCTTTTTGTAGTTCTGATAAGAGACACTTGGTAATATAAAATACTGTATGTTTTTGTAATCAATATTTATAAATTATTTATATACAAAGAAGAAAAGATATTAACACTATTTTTCTTAGATATTTTTAATATTTTTCTGTATAAGAAGAAAAAATACAAAATGAAATTGATGCAAATTTAAACAAAGAATATTATAAATAATATTGTGTGATCTGTAATTTTAGAGAATAAAATAGTATAATTTCTTTATAATTATTGTAAAATTTTGTTAACTTCGATTATGTATTTATAAAAAAAGTATTAAGAGCTAAGTTGTAAAAAGAGCTTTAAGAAACATTTAAACTTAATAAATGATTTTTAAAAAAATTATTCGTTTTTTTATATTTCACGAGTTATTATATTACGTTTTGAAAAATATAGAATAAACTTATTTTAATCTTTTATGTTATGTATTAAATATAATATTTAAGGTGCGTTAAAAATTAAGTATTATAATTAGATACGTTAGATATTATAATCAGTTGTGTTATAATATTAAATACACCATTAATATGTAATATTAAATATAATAATTAATTAAGGTGCATAAGATTATATTATGTTATATACATCATACATCATAATCCTTACATTTCTTTATTTATGTGCAATTTATTGTTATTTCTAATATGAAATTATTGTAATAAATTACATTCGGGACGAATGTAATACCAGAATAGCCGAGTTGAAAGATACTTTTAAGTACAGCCGATATAAAAGTCATTGACAATTACTCTTAGAATTATTGAATTCGATTGTCAATGCTTTCGTGGCGTTTATTCGCATTAGTATTCGATTATATTATTCAGCAACAGCCGTTTCGCAAGACTGAGTGTTTTTTTTCAATAATTTTTGTTGTTGAATTAAGAAGTTATTTCTTAGTTATTTTGTAACTCAATCTCTAACTTTCTGCCATTCTTAAAATTCAAACATTCAAGAAGAATCTTTTATTTTTATATCACTGTCCTCAGCATGATAAAGAGTATTTTAGTCATAAGAACTGAGTTTGTCGTGAAAAGTCAATATTGAAGAAGCAAAAGTCTCTGTAATATGTCATCTAGAAATGCGAAATACCAATATTGATTTCGTACGAGAGGAGTTAAGGAGTTCATATATTAATAGAAGCAGACTTGCAGACATTGTAAAGAGATAGGCAAAGAAAATGGGGAGAGGGGGAGAAAGGAAGAGTTTGTACACATATACACTGATATTTAATTTTGTTTATATTAAGATAAACTATTTCCAACTTTTATAACTATTTTTATTTAAAAAAAGATATTAGTTTTACATTTAAATGACATTTTTGAAAAACATGGTATGTCTTGTAATAAAAATATATAACTATAGAAAATACAAATTACATTTGTTTTTGCATGATTAGTATTACAATTTTTATATATTCATATAGGCATAAATATTTTATTACATTACATTATATAGACTTATACTGTGTTATGAATAATAATTTGATAGGTATCTTTCCTAATTTTTAATAAAATACCTTCTTCGTTCAATTTTGAAATTAAATTAGTAAAATCATTTATTAAAATGTTTTCAGATACAGCAAGTGCTTCCAAATCTTTCACTGAATATATATGTTTTTTATCCATATTTACTTTCTTTTCTAATACTTTAAGGAACGTTTTTATCTGTAAAAACATATTATAAGAGAAAAAATATTAGAATATTAGAAAATATTAGAAATTTGAATATTATTACGTTTTAATATAAATAAATTACTCTACATAAACGATTTACCTTTTTATTTGTCAGTTTATTATCAAAATGTAATTTCGGTATTATACAATCTTCTACTACATCTGTCATTGTATTTTGCAATATATCTATTACATCTAATGCATCCGATTCAGTTGCTTCCGTGCGTAATTCTACTTTTGCTCTAGCCTATAATAATATGATATAAAATATTTTATTTGATTATACTCTCTCTTGTAACAAAAGATACTAAACCTCAGTTAATCGAATCATGGCTTCTAATTGTCTATTGAATATTGGTAATTTATTAAATTGTTTATTTTTCGATCGAAGTTCTAAATAATAATTCTGTAATACTGTTGCCGCCTCAGTTGATAATTTTGGTTTCACATATTGTCGGGCATAGAAAATATAAGTTCGAAGGATAGACTGTGGTATAATTTCAGTGGATAATGGTAACATTAACTTTTTCCTGAAATATTATGCAATTAAGATAATTGTCTATTTCTTATCGATTAAAAATATACTGGAACAAATTTTGATTTACTATTTAATCTTTTTTGTAATCACGTAATCATTAGTGAGAATAAAAAACTAAATTAAAAAAAAAAACTGAATTAAACATATG